GTTGGGTTGACGGTTGGACTCGATGATCTTAGAGGTTTTTTCCAACCTCAATCAATGATTCATATATGAGGACTATTCTTTGCAATCCAGTTTCTACTTCTTCTCTTCTGACTATCAGGACTTCTCAAGCACTTTCCAGCTTTTCCATCCTGTTGGTCTCAAGCTTCACTGTCTATTGTCTGTTTTTCCCCGATTGCTTCTTTTTAAAGCAGTTGCTCAGTCACAAGTAAGGAGTTTTCGTCTTTAGTAGCCTTTCCTAGGGTATTTCAGATAAGGTTGACAGAACTTTTTGAAGCAATTCCATCCACTGTTAGTTATCCCTAAATTTAGTTCAAATACACAGCTAAGTCATGCCACTATGGTTCATTAGATCCCCTGAATTCTGTTCTAAAATATTGCTCAATGACTGATATCAAAATCAACAATTATAATAGCCCTCTGCAGTATTATAACAAATTAGAGTGACTTTAATTTGCAATTTAATCTTCTACTCATTCATGATCATTTATCACCAGTGAGAAGTTTTGAACCAGAATATTATCTTCAAAATTCCATTTGATATTTCCTTCAAGTTAAAAAGCAAAGTAATGATTAGGCACAATAAGCTAGTTTTTGTTCAATCAAATCAATCATGTCTAATAAAAATTTTATCTATAGTATAGTGTTCTCATAACGAAGTGTCACTGAAATTAAGCTGTATCATATCTACTATTTTGTATTTATCCACAGAGTTATTTACCGCAACTATGAAGAAAGTAAGTCTGAATTTGCCATCATTAGTAATCCTTCAGGTACATATGCACAGAATATTTAATAACTTGTGTTGTTATTATTATTGTAGTTATTATTCCAGCATGGACAAATACCAAGTTTTTGCTATTCAGAACACAATTTCAAGTCTTCTGAAAGCTTGTGTGCCCACCAGGTTCTCTTTGAGAACCTGTTAATGGTTTAAAACAATTTTATCTAGCTTGTTATGTGCTCTAGGACAAGTGTCATCAGGCTTTGTAAATTTGACTACATCAAAATAATCCTCAACCTGTTCCTCTATTCAGAAATATTTGTCCTTTTTTGTTTTAATAATTAGTTTCAATTAAACTTTTTGTGAAGATAAACAGAACAAGGAATCAAGCAAGAAATAGCTTTCTTCTTCATCCCTCATTTATTTTTTAAAAGGACATAATGAAATGTCAAGAGAGGACATAATACAGTATTTTTGTTGAGCTTTTCTTCTTCCAAAACTGAAGGAAAAAAAAAGGCACATCAAATCTAAGGAAGTTTTCACATGTGTGTTTTTAAAGACCAACAATATTTTAGCAGCATTAAGCACCTAGCACCTCAGGTAAAACTCATTCATCTAAATTAAACTTCATCATTCAAATAAGAGAATAATATTCCAGATTCCCCATCTTAACATTGAACTACATTAATTACACTATAATGGGTCTCAGTTTATGTCTTTTGGCCAACTAAGATAATATTTGCTTCCCACATTCACCATAAGTATCTGTAATTCACTCAGATAAGCCTTAAGTTTATTTTTAAGACTGGAAATAATGCTAAGTCCCAGTTCAAATTTCTAAATTATTTTAGGATGATAAAAGCATAGAAGAGAGTACCCTTGCATTCCTTGCCCAATATTATTTGTTGTTGTAGCTTTCAGATGAAAAGTCATAGGAATTAATCAAATCTGAGCAAGTATTGGCATTCTAAACCATGTGATTCAACTGCTAACTTACCCTACCATCAGCCCTACTAAAAAAGTTATAAGCCAACAGACTGGATTTCAAAGTAAAGCAGTTTACAGCATGAATGACAAAGAAGTTCTTAGACTCTCCCAGTGACATAGATCATTAATTTTCACAAAAGATAGTATTATGGCATTTCCATAAACTTATATTCATGACAGAGAAAAGCCACCATTTTCCTCACTTTGTAACTGCTAAAAATTTAGGCACTGATACACAAAACCCAGTTACACAGCACTTATTGATTATAAAGCACTGTAATTTATCAGGTATGGCTGGTTTAATCAGGATAGAAAATTTATTTCATCTCCAGAAACAAAGCTGAGAAAGAAAAAGTGAATCTGAATAGAAAAGCATCTTTTAATATTCTTGTAACGCCTAATTAATTTCAACTCTTGTATCTGTGACAGTTCTGTACTTGATTCATGACTTGGAGTAAGATGAAAATAAATAGCCATGTTTATGCCTGCGCTGTTCAGCAGAACAACTGGACAGCCTTGAGTGTACCCTACAAAGGAACCTGAAGTTTGCTACAACATAAGCATTAGGAATTGAAAAGTTAGACTCTTGAAAAGTGTTTCAGATTAGCCTGCATGTTATACTTCTAATCAAATGTTCCAAGTAGTCTGTGGAAAGAAAGCTTATCAAACCTTATTTCTTGTCATTAAAGACACTGAGTAAGGGTGCCACTGACCTAAAAACACAAGGAAAAAAAATGGGCAAGAAAAATGTTTGATATTTAAAATATCAATATAAAATTTAATCATATCTGTATATATTTGATTACTCCTAACTGTATATATGAGTGAAAAGAATTCTTTAGCTTTTAAAAATAATATACTGTATTTACCAGTTTTCAAATCACATACAACATACAGAAAAACAAAGCAATTTACTATTTATTTACTAATTAACAGGGACACGAAATAACTTACATTCAAGAAAGAAAAAAGGAAATATTAAACCTGTATTTAATAAAAATCAATTATTCCATCATACAGTATCACAGTAGTTACGTTTAAAACAAGATTTTAATTGTCTTCAATGGAACTTGCATTAGGGAAAATACAACTCATCTTTCATTATTGATTCCTTCCATTTTTAAGTGAGCTCATTTGAGCTGTCAAACTTGAGGTTCTACTTGACTACACAACAGATGCATGAAGCTGAATACATTATAATTGGGAAAATGGCCATCACTGATAAATCACAAATATTATTAAAATCACTAGAAACAGAAATTGAGACTTTCAGAAGTTCCTAACAAAAAGGATAAAAAGTGTAAACATCAGATAACTTTTGTTTGCTGAATACTGTTCCTTTTTCCTCTCCTCCAAAATCTGTTATCTTAAACAAGTTGTCCAGCGAGAAAATAAAAGCATAACAGGCTAGAACATTGATCATAATTTAATCACTAGAATTTAAAAGTTAGAATTACCTCTAAAATTAACTGGCATACCTAAGTTTAAAAGCAGTAAACATTTTCTCCCTCCCCCATTTGTTTTCATGATTGTTTAATGAAAACCAGACTGTTCTTTGACATTAAGAAATACATAATTTAAGGATCATCTTCTAGTACATTGCCACATGGCAAAAAACACATACTGTGGGTTCATACATTTATGTGTGTAGATTTTTACTTCTATAATGTACACCTGCATCAACTTTTTTTTTTTTTAACTGTGTTACAATGATGCACTCCAGGTATTAAAATACAGATGTAACGAACCCAAAATAGCAGCTCACAGTTCAGCAACTTATTATCCACAGATAAAAGCACAGTCACCCTTCAACATTTCCACTGGATGATTTCATAAATCTGATACCAAGTTTGTTGAGCCCTTTAAGTTAATAATTAATTTTATGTAATTCATTGATGCACTGCTGCAGAATTTTCTAGGGAAAACAAATGACTAAAATATACAATTGTAATTACAAATATTTAACCCTATATAAAGCTTGACAAACAGCTCAAAATATCAAAATCTGAAAGTGATTACCCCAATGCAGGTTAGGAGCATTTTTCAGGGAAGTTCCCAAGATTCAATATTCTAGTATACATTTACATTGAAATAACTTAGGCTAAACCAATTTGAAAACACTCAAATATAAAAAAATAATCTTAAAATTATTATTAAAAACTAAGATCTGTTCGATATAAAAAAGCCATGGTTGAAAGAGATGCTTACATTGGAACTCTTGCACATGCAATCAGATGTCTTATTCAATCTTCATCATAGCACAAGTTAGAAATTGCTAGCTCAAATATTTCTTTTCCACTAGAGATTTTATGCCCTTAACTGCAATTAATCTAAGGTAGCAATTTTAACTAGTGAAATAAAAATAATTTGAACAAGGGACCCTATGATGAGGAGTTACTTATAAACAATTTAAAAGAGCACCATAACATTTGAACCAGAAAGACCTTGGTTTCTTAAACAGATTCTGAATAGCAGCAGAAAGTTTACAGAATACCAAGCATCAGGGGAAAAAGAAGGCTCACATACTTTTGTTGCATTTTGTGAGCACAGTTTCCTTATCTCTTGGTGACTTCTTTGTGTTTGTAATGTATGGGGAAAAAAAAGGGTGTTCTTTTGGATCCTATGCACTCATTTATTTTACTCAAAAATAAAATCAGTACTGTAGCACTTTCTTCTTTTGGTGTAACTCTGAAATATTTTTCCCTTGGGAATGGCAGTTCATTTTGCAATTTAGTTGCATGAGCATATCTAATGCAGTATGATATCTTTTCACTTTCCAGCTCTATGTAGCGACTTACCAGTAGTGCGAGTACAGTAATTCACATTGGTTCTGTAGGATTTTTCAAGAGCATGTTGAGGCAGCCTATTCACATCATCAGAATCTAGAGCTTCTGCAGTGTCAGCTTTTTCGCCATCTGACATATAGTTTAATGGCACACTTCCAGGATGTTCAGCTGGTTTGAAATTTTTCTTTACTGAAACATCATTTGCTGGAATAGATTTTTTCCTACTTTTCTTGGAAGTATGTGGCTTACAGAAACTCACATCAAGGGAGTCCATGCTTATAAAAGAGTCTTTGCAACAAACTTCAGGAGGATTCTGTGATTCCTTTGGTACTCGTACTTGTACTTCATTTTCATTCAAATTAGATGATGAAAAGAAGTCTTCATAAGAAGCCTCTTCAGCGCAAAAAGACTTGCTATATGTAGTAGCTGCTTGCAAGAACTCTTTACACCCTGATGCACCCAGTTCTGAGGTAGCCAGTTTCAAACTAGATACTGTTTGTAGTTTCTTCCTCTTCTTGTCTTCAAGAATACAATCATTTCTGTCAACAGGGAAGCTTCTATCCAATGAACATGTATTAAAGTCTTCACTGCTCATAGGTGAATTAGAGAGACTGCCAATCAAAGTAGGAACAGTATTTAACTTGACTATTTTTTTTGAAGGAGTAATATGACCCAAGCCCTTGATTTGAAGAAGAGAGCTTTCGTTTGCAACTGAAGTAATCATGCTATTTTCATCCTTCTGATTTTTCTTTGGAAACCTTTTTAGGTCTTTCTTTTCTAAAGACAATTTATGATCCAAAGCGTGCTGTAAAATCTGTTTCTTTCTTAAGCTTCTTCTGCTATGTTGTTTTGGTGTTAAGCTCTCCTGCTCATAGCTATGTGAGGGAGAATTCACCGATGCACTCATGGATACACTAATATCAGTCCAAGTATCACAGGTGTGTTTTACTACCTCTGTTTTCTCTCTCTTTAATATACCAGTTCCCCAAAGATAATCATAACTTGAGTTCAAGCACTCTTCCATTTGTTCTCCTGCAAAATATGAGAAGTGGCAATATAAGTGTATTTAACAGAACAGAGAGAGTACCAAATCTCTTACTAAAACAGATGTGAAATTACTGAAAGAAGAAAAGAAGGATTTAGGCACTTCTCTGGATATTATATGGCAAGTCATCAAAAACTAAATAGAAAATGGATTAGAAACAAAGCACGTTCTATGTTGACAAGAAGCTACAATAGCTTTAGCTATCATGTCTCCTTATGCGGTAATAAGTATCCATAAGTCCTGTTCTGCTTTCTTGAAACAAAGCAGCAGAGAAACTCCCTTTCACTCTTCCATTTGTGGAAAAAAACAGCATGATTTTACACTGATAAAACTAGCTATAAGTAATACTGGAAACTCAATAATCATTTTTACTACCACAGCATTACCACCACCTTGTAGTTTTTGCAGCCATGATGAAATTAAATACAACATCATAGTATCATACCACATATATCAACACAATGTATTAAAAATAATTAGAATGTGGAAAATATATCATTTCTTGCAGCTATTCTTAAGAAATGGGTTTGGGGGAGGTGATATACAGAATCCATTCATAACTCTTCACAGTAAATTCCTCTGAAACAGGCTAGTACCTTTGATTATTCAGAATACATTTTTAAAAATCCAGTTGTTATACAATCTGATTCTTGCAATAGATCCTTTTGTTTAAATACATGTTGAGTGCAAAGTTTCAGCAATACTCCTTCTGTAAGCGCTCCTGTAGGTTTTAGGGAAAGTCTTGATGTTATTTGCTTACTAAATAGAAATAATATTTTCAAACATATGGTGTAGCTAGCTAAATTCAGAAAAATGAAATATACGGAGATGAAAAAAGAAGTTTTCACATGACATGATCGGACTCCCATATTGACAATTGAAAAAGACTTAACTTCAATCCTCAAATTAAACTGGATTCTTGAACTGTTTTAACCATTATTAACCAACATACTCTCACATATCTCACAAGCACAAACAAAAGAGTCACCATCACAGAGCATCAGAGATGGAAGCTACACTGAATATTGTCATGGGATGTGGAGGTCTATTCTTAATATAAAATTACATTGTGCAGTGGTAATGTTGCAGGGACATACTCAAAGTAAAGCTCTCAAATCACGATGTTCAACCTCATCAGCACACAACTAATTTACCAAAATAAAAAAGTTTGTTGGCACAGCTATGCTACTTCCAGTATTAAGCTATTACTTCTCCCTAACATTGCATGAAGACGTACCAAGCTGTCTCAGGCCACAAGATCCCAACTCTGTTCTCATGTAAGCCAGCAGGACAGAATTCCTGTATTATGTCAAAAAAATACAACACTTGAAAACAGCATGAGGTATAGCTTACTGTTGGGGTAGAACGGAGAGTAGGCAGACCACTCAAGTGGACTTCATTATGAATTCTAAAGACTGTCTTCTCCTTACTTTTCTACTGAGATCAAACACAAGCATCTGACTTCAGCTTTTTCCTCATGTGACTGACAGAAGACATGAGGTCTGAAGTAGATACCCACTGCAATACATGATTAATGCTGTTAAGATGCCCACTGACATAGCTCAACAGCCTTCACAATAATCTTCTCCCTGACATCCTGCTACTATGCCAAAACACAGGAACAAACCCCTAACTTTATGAGAATTAAGAATCTTGATAAGAAACAACTTGAATTCATCTGCAACCATAAAACATTTTAAAAGCTGATTTATTTTTACTCTTGTTATTTCTTTGATCACTGAACACTTAAGCTAGAGAACATGCTAGATTTGCATTTAAAATCAAGTTTTTCGATTGAAAATTTGGAAGACATTTCAGTTCTCTGAGGTCTCCCTCTCTCACTCAGTTCTCTTTTTCGCTTCCCATATCACGCTGTTCAGTGTGCACTCTGTATTCTATACAAGATCACTGTAAGAGCAGAGAAGACTGACACCATGCCAGGACAAGAAGCCATTAATGGGGAATGGTGTGAGGAAAGAGGGGGAAGTGAGGCAAGCAACACAGCAGTAAGGCAGAGCATTTACCCAATGTGATTCCTTTCCTTGAGTTCTTCTACGTACTTTGCCAGTTAAGAAAAACTAAAATAATTCAGCTTTAAATATAAATGATAGAGCAAATATATTCAGTTCCCATTTCAGTACACTGTACTTTCCAAAATAAGATAAACAGGCCATGTATTATTTTTAATTTCTGTAATATCTAAAGTTGTGTTAGTTACCTGGTAACAATGCATCTTCTGAATTAGTTAAGACACAAGTAGACAGCAGGCAGTCTCCTGGTGAACTACTTGGAGGTACTTGAGACATTTGCGAAGCTAGGAATTTGTAAATAATAAGCTAGTTAGCCCTGTTTGCAAACATACAGATTTCCACATCATCTATTCTTATTTCAAAACAGCTCAATCCTGAGACAAGTCATTGCTTTGTCAACTAACTATAACCATATAAATAATTATAGACAGCTCAACAGTATCTCAAATTTACATACTAACAAAAAACCTGTTAGATATTCTACAATTTTAAGCAATTTTTTTCTAGATAACTCAGCACCACATTTTTCTGAAACTAAAGAATGATGGCAAACCATTTAGAAAATATTATAGACATTTCTAAGCCAGTTGAGGCATTTTACTAAAGAATCTGTCAAATCCTGCAATTAGCAGCAAAGCCTTGATATAGCAGAAATGCTTTTCAAAACATTTGAAGGTATTACCTTAAAACTCAAAGAGAAAACAAATACAAGCCATGCTAAAATAAATAAGATTCAATTTTTCCATCCATGTGTCACTGGTTGTTCACTTTCCTCCCACAATAATTTTTGAAACTATCTCCCACAATTATTTTTGAAACTATAAACTGACAGTCTAGTTGACATAGAGTTCTTAAAACTTCAAATACTACAGATTTCCCCCCCCCCCAAATATGTTCCACATTTCAACAGTTTTTATAATAACTGACAAAACCTAATGACTTAGACCTCAATACCTACCCAGTAAGGTAATGCAGACACTAAAAAATAATTTGAAAACTGCAATCTAGATTTAATTCACCAGGATCTACATTTTGAAGTCAACTAGATTTATTCAATTAGGTCATTGAAATTAATTTATTTTTTTTAAATCCTGTTCCTCAGTACCCGGACAGATTTCTCATCAATTTTGGACTCCTTTTTAAACTGTTGGCCTGGGAGTAATAACATTACAATCTTTGTCAAGTACAGCATTCACATTAAAATTTAACAGGAAATAAGATTTAGAGTCTCCCTGTAAAGTTTAATCAAGTTGTGATAATATCAATTTACAAGTTTAGAAAGTCTAGCTTAAACATTAGTCCTCTTGAGCAGTCCAGTAATTAAGAAATTCCTTTTTGCAATCATTGTCTTCCATGGCTTCTTGTGCCCTTTGATAGAAAGAAACTAAAAGCTAAAGCATTTGCACCTACTCAAAACCTGGGAAGAAGGGAGGACATGCGATCAAGTAAGACATGAAAAAAATTCTGAAGGCCGGAGCAAGACAAGTGCACCAAAAATTCAGCAATAAAGATGATATCCATGAACATGCACAAATGGCTAAGTAAAATGTAACTTCTTACCAGTAGGAGAAATATTTTCTCTTTTTTCCTTCATCTCCTTTATTCTTCTTTCCATTGCACTGCATTGATCTTTGATCTTATTAACTGGGCTGTATACAAGTGAACCATTGTCTTCAAATAGTAAAACTGGTACATCAGTTTCTACACAGAGAAATCGCATTTGCACATTAATATTTACATGCTATAACAGCTTCAGGTGAAGTTTCTTTTCTTTTTCCCCAAAAAACTTGAAGCAATTAGGTTCCTTATACTTAACGTCGTTACAGATACCTTAATACCACAAACTTGCAAAGAACTCTGTAAAAAGTAAGTCAACTTTATTTCTCATGGTGAGATGCATAAAAGTAACAAAAACAAAAACCCATCAAATGCTTTAAAGAAATAACTTAAGATATTTGAATCTTAGTCCAAAGTAGTTCTTACCAGCATTAATTGCTATCTTTTGTACAGCTAATTCTTTAGCCATCTGGTCCAGTCTTCTCTGCAGCTTTCTATCATTTTCTGGAGTTTTTTCAACAAAGTCTTTTGGCTGCATACATTTGTGCTACAAGACACACAAAACTATTAATTATACGGTATAAAACTGCCAGAAGTAACTACACTTCCTATTTGCCTACCACTTTATCACAGTATTTATTATCAGTGTTTAACTCTATGCTACTTATTATCACCTCCTTGAGAGTCACAGATAATTGTAAAGTTAACATTTTCCAAAGTGAACTTTAATATGAAATAAGAAAGAACATAACAGATTTTTTTATTTTAGATTTTAATAAAAAGGAGACTAAGTCACCATGTCTTCTTTTTTGCTTGTAGCAAAGCTAAGGCTTGAAAGATTTTTGTTTTTTTAAAATACCAGGATTTTATTGCAACTCAGTGAAACATATGCCACATTACAGTCATGGTTTTTTGATTAGTTAATCATTACGTGATTTTAATTTAAATCTTTGTTTCTTTATTCACCAACACAAAAACTCCACTTTTATTATCCTTTCTTCAGGTAAGATGTCACATCATCACAGCCATAGCCTACCTTTAAAAACCTACTCAGATGGATAGGTAGTTTACAGAATGTTCTGAAAATAACCATTTCAAATGCCTGAGGTCAGAAAGTCAAGTTCAAACTTTAAAGCTTACTACTGTAGGCCTATTTAAAAAAAAAAAAATAGAATCACATACTCACTTTTTTGATCAGTAGTGGTAATCCTTCATTAGTGTCTACTGCAGGAAATAAGGATTCATCAACATGTACTCCAGTTTCTCGACACCTGTAAAATAAATTACAGCAGGTTTGGGGTTTTGTTTTTTTTTTTTTTT